CTTTGAAATTTTTATTCGTGTAAAAAGGATGGATAGATAAAGATAGATATTGAAAGAGAGAGAGAGAGAGAGGGAGAGAGAGGAGGGGTGGAGAGAATCTTGATTTATATATATATGTATATTATTTTTTTATATTCTTTACTTTGTATTAGCTTTTTCTTTCTTTCTTTTTATTTGTCCTTCTTGTTCCTTCCAGCGGATATTAAGGAGAAATTAAAAATGAAAGCATGAATCCGTGAATGAAGGAAAGAGAGAGAGAGAGAGAGAGAGAGAGAGAGAGAGAGAGAGAGAGAGAAAGAGAAAGAGAAGAGAGAGAGAGAGAGAGAGAGAGAGAGAGAGAAAGAGAAAGAGAAAGAGAGAGAGTGAGATTTTTAATTTTCCTTGTTTACGTCGGCTGTATGACGCAAGCTCAGGTAATTAGAGCTGTTGGAAATGGTTTAGAATGGAAAATAAATAAAAAAGAGATAACCGTATGGTTTATGAGCTTGTTTTCGTCGAGCTGCCTTGCTCGAGGCCAACGATGCCTTGTTCTATAAAGAGGAAGAGAGAGTGAAAGAGAAAGAGAGAGAGAGAGAGAGAGAGAGAGAGAGAGAGAGAGAGAGAGAGAGAGAGAGTAAAGAAGGATGGTAGCTACCTCTCGACATTGCCTCAATAGTTCGATACTACTACTTCGTACCTTTGGATATGCGATCAGGATGACGCTTCGTGCCAAGGTAAGCGGTAATTAAATCGCTTCGCGATCGGTGCAACCTACGAGGGGTTGGCTCTTTGGATGACTTGTCCTCTGCGTGAGTACCTAAGTGCTTGAATGCCGTGTTCTCACTCTCAAATAAGAAAGTCTAATAATTCACGCGTCGACTTTTGAGATAATGCATCACTGAATGTCATGATTTATGAACTCTCAACAACTCGAGCCACTTCGATTGAACTGTCGATATCACCTTCTCTCTCTCTCTCTCTTTCTCTCTCTCTCTTTCTCTCTCTCTCTCTATCATTTTTCTTCTACATAAGGACACGTTTATAAATGTCTCTCGTAGATATTTAAATATCACATAACTCGAACATTGCAATTGTTCCGACTTTATCAAATATATCATATCTATTGGCTAAGTCGATCGGGATGTTTTGTAATTTTTATGAGAAACCATTTAAATTGTTTCAATCTCTTCACAAGAATCTAATTATGCTTCATTGATACTTAACTATTTCGAAATAATCAATAAAATCAACGATGTAATTAGATGCAATTGAACTAATGTAATAGCTTCGTGATGATAAGGATCGATGATAGAAGATCAATTGATTTTTATCCAATTAACATCGATCTTGGCTACGTCTTTGGATTAATCCAAATGAAATGGATATAATTAAACGATAGTTTAATGTAGGAAAGAAAGTTTAAGGAAGCGAATAAAACTAAAAAAAAAAAGAAAAAAAAAAGAAAGAAAAGAATAAAAAATACAAACAAAAAGAAATTAAAGGAAATTAAAGCTAGAAAGTATACCGTTAGGCTATCAATCTTGAACTATGTAAATTCTGTTACTATCTAACTAATGATTGACGTGTTGAAATTAAATCAACGAAACATATATGTACGTATAGAAAACAAAGAATCTAGTAGTAACGTAAACGCGCGATTATCAATACGATTTAGACATTAGTATGAATATTAACAATTATTTTCTAATATTGTCAATTTATAGTTAACGCATATGTGTGTATATATATATATATATATATATATATATATATATATATATGTCTCTTTTCATTGTGACCAAATTGATTAAACTTGTAAAATATTTTTTTTTTTGTTTGTTTACATGGATACTTTCTATGGAAATATTATTCATGAAAAACATATATATATATATGTGAATACTTTCTACCATAATGTTACTCATACATATATATATATATATATGTATATAATACATATAAATATATAAACACACAGTATACACACATCTGTCTCTTTTTATCGCGATCACATTTATTAAACTTGTTATTAAAAATCATTTTCTTTTTTCTCTTTCTTTTTCATTTATTTATTTGATTCATTTATTTTTATTTCCCTTCACATGTACACTTTCTATTGGTATATATTATTCAGGAAATAAATGTGGATACTTTGTCGCATAATATTACTATTATTACTCTACTTATCTGATTCTCCTTTTGTCGTGATGAAAATTTATAAAACTCGTTTATAGAAAATTATTATTTTTTTTTTATCTCTTTTTTCCTTTTCTCTCTCTCTCTCTCTCTCTCTCTCTCTCTCTCTCTCACTCCTCGCACTCTCGAACACTTTCTGATGTGAAAATATTATTTAAGGAAATACGCGTATACACTTTCCGCGATAATATTATTCTTATTTTTTTATTTATTCACATATACCCACATCTGTCTCTTTTCATCGCGATAAAATGTTTAAAATTCGTTGTGACGAAATTTTCTCTTTTCTTTTTTATCTTTTTTTTTTCTTTTTTTATTTTTTTTTCTTTCTTTTTTTTTTTTTTTTTTTTTTTTTTGTACTTTTTCCTCTTATACACGGACTCTTCTTACCGTCTTCTGACTTAACAGAATATTATTCAAAAAATCATATTTCGCACCGATCATATTTTTAGCTTCTTTATCATCGATCGATAGAAACGTCATATCTCTTCATGGTAGGTAATCCAATTTGTAAATCCGTCTATGGCTATCGTTTAAAGTACATCTGACGTGTACGATGCACAAATTGGATCGTTAAAATTGATTATTTTGACGGATGCACCTTATTTCCAACTCTATCAGCTGATCGTCCAGTGTCGTCCTGTAATCTAGTTTTCTCTCCCTTTTCTCCCTTTCTATCTTTCTCTTTCTCTTCCACCTTATTTCTCTATTTCTCTCTTTCTTACCTTTCTCATTTAAAATTCCTCTTACTGTTACGAAGCGAACGACGCATTTAGCTCGCCACGGTCGTTAGAAGCTCGCTGAACTTCATTAGTCACTGTCATCCGGTGGCCGTGCTAAGTTCACGACGAAAGATCTTATGAATATGCGAAGGGAACATACTTACCTCTGTCTAGTTCTCATGTCTGTTTTTACGCTCTTCATTCTTAAGTACGATACGACACAAAATCTTTATGATTATTCACACTTTTCAATGATACTTGAGACTATTTGATTTTAACCCTTTTAACGTTTCAACAAGTAATTATTTAATAATTAAAATTCAATGTTTTTCCTTTTTTTTTCTTCTAAATTTTTTTTTACAAAGTAAAAAAAAAAAAGGATAAAAATTTCAATTGGAATGGTCAAATAAGGATTAGAGAAAAAAATTTAGGAGAAAAGTAAGGGAATTTATTTTTCTTAAATATATCATATGATATATTTCTGTGTATATATTTTCTTTATAATTATTTTTTTTTTGTTTTTTTTGTTTTTTTTTTTTTTTTTTTACGTATTTATATATATATATATATATATATATATATATATATTATATATATATATATATATATATATATATATATATATATATATATATATATATATATATATATATAAATCATCCTTCTCCAGTATTATACTCGAGACTTTCCAATATGAATGATCGAACGTTTCAAATAAATAAATTGAAAATTAAATTTGTTTTTAATAATATTTTACAAACTATGACAACGATTTTAATTGGAATAACCAATAGGAGAGAGAGAGAGAGAGACAGACAGACAGAGAGAGAGAGAGAGAGAGAGAGAGAGAGAAAGAGAGAGAGAGAGAGAGAGAGAGAGAGAGAGAGAAAGGGATAGAAAGAGGGCAGATGATTTTTCTGTTGTTTACATAACACAATATACATATGTATATCTACGTGTATATTTTATTTTTTTTCAATTTAAGTTTTATATAAAAATTACATTAGAAATGAAATTTTATACAAGTATTTTTAGTTAACGAATTAGATAATAATTGATAATATTTAATATATTTAAAAATATTTGTTTAGATTGACAATATCATGACTTACGTCATTGTACATGTCATAATGTCATATTTTTTTCTTTTTTTTTTTTTTTTACAAATTTTTATTATCATGTAAATACATATATGTTTATTTATTCCTATATACATATATATATATATATATATTTATATATATATAATTATGTACATATATATTTAGGTAGACTGGTAATCAGGGCGGTGCCGCGTTTTATGCAAGACTTTAAAGTACGGAGCATTAAGCATTTAAAGATATTTAAATTAGCAATAAAGCTACGTGATGCGTAACTGAGCATGAAATGAACTTCGAATGTCGGAGGGGATGTTGTATATAATATATATATATATATGTAAATACATATATCAAACATGAATGTTATTGCGTATGAAAAATTTCTTTTTTCCCGTGACTTCGTCGTTCGTTTTTTTTGTCGAGAAATAAAATTTCGATTATGTTCACTTTAAAGACGAACTTGTTCCTTGCTTGTCTCTCTCGAACTTTATTGGTACCACCCGTTGTTTTAATATTCCCTTTTAAGAAAAGAGAAACTAAGTGAGTTCGAAGATTTTAAGATCGAAAGGAATCATCCATACAGACAACTAGTTTTGTTTATTTTTGTTCTTTTATTTTCTTTTCTTCTTTTCCTTTTTTTTTCTTTTCTTTTTTTTTTTTTTACAACTTGGACGCCAAAGGCAAGGCGTCCATTGTCTCCGAAAACAATGGCGCCATGTATCATTGTTCCCTTTATAAGTGTATCTCTCTCTCTCTCTCTCTCTCTCTGTCTCCATTCCCCATATCTCTGTCTCTTTCCTTCTCTTGTGATCTTGTCACGCCTTCTTTCTCTTCGTCTGTAACGATGCTTCAGATACAAGAGAGAAAAGAGGAAGAGATAGGAAGGAAGTCTGAAAGAAAAAGGAAGAGACTGAATTAAGAGAGAGACAGAGAGAAAGAGAGAGAGAGAGAGAGAGAGAGAGAGAAAGAAAGAGAGAGAGAGACGGACGCATATACATAAATATGTATGTATATATATATATCTATGAATTTATGTATGAATGTATGTAGTTTGAGAAATCAATGAGAATTGCTTTAACAGCGTGATAATTGTTACTGACTCTAACTTGATTTTCTTTCAACGTAGTTAATGAAGAAGTAATTAAAATTGACGCTCATATGACATGCTAGTGGTTACGTATATATATGTACGTACAAGTATATAGGGTGTTAAAAAAAATTTTAAGAAAATATATTATTCATTGAAGTAACTACGAAGTACAAATGTGATAATAATGTAACGAGTAAAACTTGACAATTAATATAAATGATATTTAATCTATCGTAGAATAAACGTGGATTTTTTAATGATTAACAAATATGTTATTATCGGTTTGTTCGGTGTAGATTAAAAAATATTATGTTATTATATATTCGAATAATTATTATAAGTATACTATATGTAATATATTATTATTATTATTATTATTATAATTATTATTATTATTATTATTATTATTATTATTATTATTATTATATGAATTAGTGATTATGAAAGTGATTTAAGTCATGTATATTCTTCGTTTTGATATATATGAACAATCGTGTTTGAATTATTTAAAAGAAAAAGATTATTTTTTTCTGTAATAACAAGAACGGAAATAGTAAATATACCTACGTAATTTTACAATTTTAAGAATATTAAAAATATTCGTTCAAGTGACTTAGAACCAGATTCACTTTCATAATCATCATCGATTCATAATTCATGTTTACGGCTGATTAATTTTTTTTTTTTTTTTTTTTTTTAATCTCTTTATTACATCTCATTTATTCATTCGTTCGTTTATTTATTTATTTTTTCTTTTTCTTTTTTTCTTTTTTTTTTTTTTGGAAGGGGTGTGGGGCGAAAATCATATACCGCGTCGTTGTTATTATATTACTATATATGTTTTATATGATTAATTTTGTTTTCTTTCTTTTTCTTTTTTTTTTCTCCTCTTTTTTTTTTCTTTTCTTTCTCCCTCCTTCGGTCGAAAAATTGGATTAAGGTGCGTGGCTGGAATGGCAGAAAAGTTACGCGAAGCTTGCGTCCGTGGCGAGGCCGAACGTGTCGCACGTCTTCTCGACGAAGGGATCAAACCACAACCAGACGAGGTGAGTAATAATTCGCATTTCTATCTATCTATTTATCTATCTATCTATCTATCTATCTATCTATCTATCTCTCTTTCTCTCGTTCATTTTCATCCTCACCTTATACACCTCCACCTCATCCACCTTCATCTACTCCTCGTAATTCAGATTCTATCGTCTTCCATTCGAACGTAAACCTTGTAAATCGTTCATCTTACTCGCGGAACGATTCAAGCGCGCAAACGAGGATTTTCTTTTTAGATTTCTCAAGAAATCCTCTTTGCTTCTCTTAATTCAAATCGGAAGTTCCTTCATTCTTCGTTCGTTGCTCTTCCACGAAGTTTCCAATTTGATCTTTGACCTTTAATCGTAAAAGCCATCGGACACGGATACATATATATATATACGATAGATATATGTATCCATGTAGATGATATATATATATATATATATATATATATATATGTATAATATACATGTGTATATATTGATCCACGATGACTTTTATATAGTCGAAAGAAGTCGGCTTAAGATCAAAGCTTTTAAAAACCATGACAAGCTTCTCCTACTAGCATTTAAATCGATATTCATCAACGAGAAATCGAATCTTCTTCTTTTCCATCTTTTTTTTTTCACTTCTTTTCCTATCTTTTCTCTTTTTCTTTTTTTTTTTCTTTCTTTTTTTTTTCTTTCTTTTTTTTTACGATTTCGAACTAATCTGTTAATTGATTATCTCGTATTTATTGTCGTCATAAATTTGAATTATATCTATAAATTATGTAAGACATTTATCATCACATTTGTAATACGTTTACTATAAACAACGTGGTGGTCTTATTACTATTCTTCCTTTCTCTCTTCCCCTTCTTCGTTCCTTTAGCCTATTATAAAGATCTACTTCTCATTTTATCTATTTCCTTGAATAGATCAATGTTAATTTTTAACGTATTCGTGATCGGTTAAATCATATACTAAACGTAATTCGTTTTATCGTTTATGTTCATATATCTAATACAATTAGAATTAGAATAATTATTGAATTATTTAAAATTTAAGAAAAATTGATAATATCGATATTAAATGAAAAATATCAAATAAAAATAAAACCGTACCTTTATTATAATAACTTATCACGTATATTAATTTACACAATTTTATATTGATAATTACATAAGTAGTATAAGTAAAAAATACTTAGTATATTAATCGCGCCTATTAACAATGTATATTAATATATTCATTGACGATTAATATTTAAATCACTCTATGATCTATTTTGTTCATAAATACATTTTTATGATCTAATACAATGAATTATAAATATTATATAATAAAGTATTTCATTACAGTAAAAAGAAAAAGAAAAAAAAAACAAAAACAAAATACAAAGGAAAAGTATTTACGTTTTTTTTTACGTTTTGTATTTTTTACGTTATTATTGTTTTTCTTTATTCGTGATTTAAAGAAGATTTGAATCAAGGTCATGATGGCCATTCGCCTTAGAGAGAGAAACAGAGAGAGAGAGAGAGAGAGAGAGAGAGAGAGATCGTTCCTAAGTCATCGTATCGTACTTCGTAGGGCAAAACGAAGGTTCCGCGGATATACGTAAAGGGCCGATCGTCGTCGCGTTGTCGTTTAGCTCGTGTTGCTCGATTCCTTGTTCAGCTAATTAAGGCTTGCGTACTGTCCGATCGCGGGAGTTAATTCAACGCGGGAAATCTCTGCGCGAGCTTACAAACTGAAATACCGGTAGCTATTAATTACAACGCTAATTGATCCGTCGATGAAGTCTACACGTAATGCAACGAATAAATAATTCGCCAATAATAAAAAAAAAAAAGAAAAAAAAAAGAAAGAAAAAAATATCTTTCACTTTTATATATACAAATATATATCTATGACAATATATCTCGTATAATTTTTATTACGAACTATCAATGTCGTCATTGTGAAAAGATTATTTCGCTATTTGTATATGTCTGTATTTACGTAGTCATATAATAATAATAATAATAATAATTATAATAATAATAATAATAATAATAATAATAATAATAAAAAATTGAAAAGAAAGAACGACGAAATGATTTTTAAACGTTTCAAATAGTTCGAATAAAAATATAAAATAGAAATATATCGACGAATTAACGATTATGAATAATGACGAGATGTATTGTAAACCAAAAGAAAAAAAAAAAAAAAAAGAAAAAAGAAAAAGAGAAGAAAAAAGAAAAAAAAAATAATGTAAAGTATATGAAATATATTATCAACTTTTCTTGTATTATTTAGAATGGACGAAGTCCTTTGCTATTGGCTGCAGCACTTGGCCACACTGACGTCTGTAATGCTCTTCTACTTCGTGAAGCCGAGGTTAATGCAGCCGACTCGGTGAGTGATATCCTTGGAAATGAGTTTGTTTTGATCTACGAGGGTAGATATTGGTCTTTTCTTTCTTTCTTTCCCTCTTTTTTTTTCCTTTTTTTTCTTTTTTTTTTTTTTTTTTCTTTTTTGGCTTCAATGATTAGCAACGCGCCATTACGTTCTTCGAAATCGTGAGACGTTGAAAGCATTGATCCTGAAGTAACGATTAGAAAGACAGAAGGGGAATATCTAGAACGAGTTATTATATTCCTTTTTTATCGATTACGCCCATCTTATGAAAGATAGTTAAGAGCTTTGGTGTATTGATCGATTTACGATGACGATAACTATTTCAAGATGGATAGATAGATAGATAGATAGAGAGAGAGAGAGAGAGAGGGGAGAAAATATGAAAAATGAAAGACTGTCGAGTAAGAAATTAATTGCCATAAACGACGTCGTTGAATATACCAACTAACTTCGTGATTGACTTATTTTCTTGTTTGATATACGTGATATATATTTTATATATATATATATATATATATATATATATATATATGTATATATATGGGATATATATTTTATATGTATATGCATATGGGATTTTTATAGATAATTAATTTCAACTGCATGAGAAATGGAAGATCGATCTAATTTTAATTTCTATACAAATAAATTGTTTCTAATTTTATATAATCTTTCAAATGTGATATAGTATTCAACGGGACAAAAAGTTGCGTATTAATTATTTTTCTTTTTTTTTTTTTTTCACGATAGATAGATTATTAAACTATGACGTTTTCATTTTTTTCTTTTTTTTTTCTTTTTATTTTTTTTTTTTCTTTCGCTACATTACCAGGGAACATTTTTACAAGAAAGTAAATTAACTCGATAAATCAGCTCGAAAAAGAGTAATCTCAATTTTTCAAATCACTTAATAACTTTTGACTCTACTTCACTCTTTTCCGCCCGGCCTATTGGCCCCGCCTACGAACTTTTAACTTCATTTAGGAACTTCCTTGGGCTCATCTTCTGTATTTTGAAATGGTGATTACTCGATGCATCCAGACGTAACGATTAGCTATCAACGAATGTTTTACGGTAATTTAACGTAATGTCATTGTACTCTCGAACAATTCTATTTTCAGCAGACGTTTTTTTTTTTTCTTCACTCTTTTCTATCAGCATCGAAAGATTTATATCCTGAGTTTGACACTTAGCCGGAAGCCAATTCAAGCTCAACTTGCTTAGCCACAAAGAAACGGTATTCGCTTTTATTTCGTATCTCCTTTCCTTCTTACAAAAAAAAAAAAAAAAAAAAAAAAAAAGAAAAATAAAAAAAATAAAAAAAAAAAAAATAAAAAAAAAAGATCCATGCATTTTACATACGTAATTACGGCTACTTCGAGAGTTTCTCGATTTTTTCTCTCTCTCTCTCTCTCTCTCTCTCTCTCTCTCTCTCTCTCTCTCATAAGTTACCTCTACGAATGATAAATTCTTCGCAGGTGACATTTTCTTCAGTTGAAATGTATCACGATAACGACATGATATCAAGAAGATCATTTCGAATAAATGAAAGAAAATGAAATCAGATGTTTGACAAGGAAAAAAAGAAAGAAAAAAAAAAAAAAAAAGAAAAAGAGAATAAATACAAATAATGTCCAAGATAGTCCTTATTGGTCATGATTATAAATGAAAAGAAAAAGAGAGAGAGAGAGAGAGAGAGGGAGAAAGATAAAAAACAAATAGAGAGTAAGAAAGAGATAAAGAGATATACAATGAGAGAAAGCGAGACAGACGTATAGAATAAGTGATTCAAAAGAGAGATAGAAAATACGAGAGAAAGGGAGGGATGAGAAAATCTCTGTTGCATGGACGGTCCTCTTAGCGGGAATTGGCCGATAAGTCATACCCATCGGTGGGCCGTTCTACGTGTCAGTGCTGTAATATAGCAATACGATTATCCTGAGTAATGAATACCCGAAAGATGTAATTACCGTGTAATTATGGGTACACGACGTATCGGCGTTAACGAAGTGAAAAAATGTTAGCTCCACTTTTGCTTTAATATCGTACCTGCGTTCTGGAATTTATAGGAACGCATTTGGTCCACTTTCAATCCTCATTCTCTCTCTCTCCCTCTTTCTCTCTCTCTCTCTCTCTCTCTCTCTCTCTCTCTCTTTCTCTTTCTTTCTTTTCTCTCTCTTTCTTTCGTTACACATACGCGTATCAATCGTTAAGTGTATCGTGATAATTACTACTAGCCGTTTAAAATAAATAAGAAAAATCGATCACATGTTGCGTACACGTTCGTTTTGCTAATCATACGACGAAGTATATAAGTAAGTAACTCAGGCATGTAGATTTTGTCACATATTTTTTTCTTTTTTTCTTTCGTTTTTTTTCTTCTTTTTTTTCTTTTCTTTCTTTCTCTCTTCCGTACGACATAAATATCAAAATTTATAGAACGTGGCGGATAAAATATATGAAGAATTTCTTCTATCAATTATAATATAATTATTAACTTTTATACGTTGATACGCAAATTGAAATATGAAAATCCATAAAAATTAATGTTTTCTATATTAACGTTGGTTAATCACAATTCTTTCTTTTTTCTTTGTCTTTTTTTTTTTCTTTTATTTATTTATTTATTTATTTTTTAAAGAATATAGATAGGAAAATCATTATTTAATCGTCAGACATTGTTCTCGTAAATTTTCTTAACTCGTTTCTATCACAGATCTACGTAAATTCTTTGATCTTCGATCAAGAATAATAAGAAGATTCATTCGATATGGAGTAAAGGGAGTTAAGACGAGAAAAGACAATGACTCGAAATGATTTGAAAAAGCAATCAGGATCACCTTTTGCTTATCGCCCAGCGTGATCTACTCTTCGAAAAGAAGTCGACTCGTTCTGCATCCACTGTACAATACGTCCATTGCTGGAACTGACTGACGGCCAATCTTCTCTCTCTCTCTCTCTCTCTCTCTCTCTCTCTCTCTCTCTCTCTCTCTCTCTCTTTCTCTTTAACTCTTTCTTTCTTCCTTTCTTACTTTCTCTCTCTTTCTCTCTTTCTTTCTCTTTATATCTTTTCTTACTACCACCCGCAGAAAACACGTTTGGTTAGATCTTACCAGCGTGGGGTACGAACCCAAGTTCTTCGTACGTTGTACGAGCGTGCCTTTATTTAGAATCCTTGTAACGCGCCGCTGGTGGCCAACGATTATACATCCTGAACTTTTTTCTTCCTTTTATTCTTCTTCTTCTTCTTCTTCTTCTTCTTCTTCCTTTTCTTCTTCTTCATTTCTCGCCTATTAAATCTGCACCAATATCTTATACCCGAATTACTAGAATTAGATTCGTATAATCTCGTTACCGATATTATATCGATTTATATTAAATTAATTTTTATATATTGCCACTTTATTAAATATTGACCAATAAAAAGTTCATGTCGAATCCAATGACATTTATTTTATCTATATACATCGAATTCATTTTTAATATTAAATCTGCTTTTATCTGTATTTAATTAAATTAAATATATTATATTCATTACGGCATTTCCTTCTTATCAAAAGTGTGTATATATAAATGTATGTGTGTGTGTGTGTTAATTATGCAAACGACAATTTTATTATGATAATGTTAAAAAGATGCTTAAGACGTTAATAACGAATGATTTTTATCTGACACTTCGAAACTCGTCACTTTTATCATATCAAATTTATTTTGAATATATATGTATATATTTTCTTTTTTTTCTTTTTTCTTTTTCCTTTTCTAGTTTTTTTCTTTTCTTATTTTTTTTTCTTTTTCTTTTTTTCTTTTTTGTTTTTTTTTTTGAGCACAAGAACTTTCATCGAAAAGATAAATTTCGCGGGAGAGATCATGAATTGAATCGAAAGTAAGCGAATTCGACGTATCACCTGACGTTGACCTTTGTACTTTAAACGTAAGAAGATCAGACTGACTGACTGAAATATCGTACCTGTGTGTTGTAAATGTGTCCTGTAAATTCCTTAAGACACGAGCGGACGTTACACGTCGTTACGATTCGGTCTACATGAGAAAGAGAAAGAAGGAAGGGAAGAAAGATAAAAGTGAAAAAGAGAGATAGATAGATAGATAAAGAGAGAGATAGAGAGAGAGGGAAAGAGAGAGAGAGAGAGAGAGAGAGAGAGAGAGAGAGAGAAGTGTAATACTCGAGCGTTACGTCTACATCCATGAAATTTATTGCGAGACTTCGCGAGATCTTTGAACCGGCGTACCAACAATCTTTGTAACTTACGTGAAAATTTGTTGCCTCTCGTGGTAACGTGAATTACGACCATATCTTCACGAATATCATATATACACACACACACACACACACATATATATATATATATACATACTTATATATCGTTTTATTTTTCGACGATACTAATTACTTAATGAGAACGATCATAATTTTTCGTTTTTCGTTTCTCTCTATTTCTCTCTTTCTTTCTCTCTTTCTCTCTCTCTCTCTCTCTTTCTTTCTTTCTCTTTCACACGTCCCTCTTTTTCCGTCTTACAAAAGAAGAAATAAAAGTATTAAAAAAAAAAATGTATATATATATATATATATATATATATATATATATGCCCATATGAAGAAAAAAAGAAAAAGGACATAAATAAATGTATAAAGTGACAATGACACGTCGTTATTTACGATCTCGACTTTGAATCGGGATTTAATTCGATATACAAAGACGTACATAAATTTTGATAATTTTCAAGGGTATTCTTCCCTCGATCGAATGAATTATTTCAGTATCGTATAATTCGGCATCGTGTATATCAGACAGAAATTCTCTTCCACTTTATCCCGCGCTATACCCCCTCCCCCTCCCTCCTCCCCCCTCACCCCCTTTACCTCTCACTCCTTTATATCACTACTTTTCTTCTCTCTTTTCCACATTCTACCGTCTGGATTCTCCTTTCTTCGTGAGATTTATGCGCGAAGCTTATGGCCATCCGCGTGCTTTTCAGGATGTTTCGCCGCGAGGAATTTGGCACACATTTCTTTTTCGATGTGTACGCCCAAGTCGACGTAATAGCTATAAACCGAGAGAGAAGGAGAGAAATAGAGAGAGGGAGAGAGAGACAAAGAGTGAGAGAGAGAGAGAGAGAGAGAGAGAGAGAGAGAGAACATTCATGGTGCCACGAAACCTATAATTAGGAAGGGCCCTGGAAATAGCTTTTTAGACGAATATAGGCGGCACACGAAAAGACGTTTCTACCTCCCACTTACTACTTCTTCTTCTTCTTCTTCTTCTTCTTCTTCTCTCTTCTATTTCTTTTTTTTCTTATTTTTCTTTTCCTTTTTTCTTCTTTGTTTTCCTTTTAGTTTTTGCTTTTTTCTTTTTCCTTTTCTTTTTTGTTCTCATTTTCTTTTTCTTTTTTTCTTTTTCCTTTTTTTAATTTCTCTCTTCTCTTACTTTTTTCCTTTCACATCCCTCGTCTTCTTCGGGACCAGACTTTCTTGTTCCATCTGGCGAGTCAGCAAGTTCGACAGGTAGGTAACTCGCTCGAGTTAATTAGCCGATCGTCCAAAAATTTTAATAAAAGACGCTGACAGCTCTTACGATATATTGTACATATGTATGTACGTATGTATGTATGTATGTATGTATGTATGTATGTATGTATGTATGTATGTATGTATGTATGTATGTATGTATGTATGTATGTATGTATGTATGTATGTATGTAAGTTACCCAGAGTTAGAATTTCGATTTCATTTTTATTTTCTTTTTTCTTTTTCTTTTTTTTTTGTTTTTATTTATTTTCTCTCTCTCCTTTTCTCTCTCTCTCTCTCTCTCTCTCTCTCTCTCTCTCTCTCTCTCTTTCTTTCTCTTTCTTTTTATCTTTCTATTTTTTTCTATCCTCCGTTACATTAGGTCAATCTTTCCAATGTCAAGAAACGAACTACGATGACGACTATTATACCATTAGTAATTATACGATTTCGAGATTTTTAGGCCAACTTAAAAAAAAAGAAGAAGAAGAAGAAAAAAAGGAAAAGAAAATGGGTATTAATTTTTTTTTTTTTTTTTTTTTTTTAGAGAAACTTAAAATTACGATGTTTATCGTTAACTTCTTTTGCCTTCTTTCTCGTTTTCTTCTTTCTCTTTTTTCTTACATCAAGATCGAACGCGAGAAACCGATACTTTCGACTACAACGACCGACAACGACAACGACGACTACGACGATGACGACGGAGAAGAAGAAAAAAAGAGAAATGAAGAAACAAAGAAGAAGAAGAAATAAAAAAAAAAAAGAAAAGAAATAAACAGAAGATATAAATATCCTTGACATTATCCCATAAATTTGCTACGCCACTGTGTTCGACGCCGCTGTGAAAAAGGTATGCAGCTATTACAGATCGTCGAACAGGTAAAATTCTGCGATGTTTCTTCGGCCTCCAAACAACCCGTTGGGTTCTTTTCGAGAAAAGAAAAAGAAAAAGAAGAGAAGAGGAAGAAGAAGAAGGAGAAGAAGAAGAAGAAGAAGAA